CACACACACACACACACACACACACACACACACACACACACACACACCTGTCCGGTACTGAGGAGGAGGTTGTGTAGGTGGACAGCGGGGTGGAGGAGAAGGAGGGAGTAGCTGCCTGGTTGGGGCTGACGTAGGCGTCTGGCCACGGGGAGCACTGAGGGGAGACACAGATATATAAATACACAATTAATCAGACTCACTGGGTCAATAAACACTGCAGGCCAACTCCCCAACAGATTAAAAAAAAGGTTGTGGAAAAATCAAGGGTGGATAAGGGAATTTAGCTTTGCACCGCCTCCATCCCACCTAATGTCAAATACATGGCATTAAAAAACGTCTCCTTCGCAGCAGCTGAGGGTCTACAAGCTTCAGGCTGCAGCCGGGTGTCTACAGGAGAGGGGGGGGGGGGCAGACTGTGGATGGAGTGATGGGGAGGAGAGGGGAGCAGGGTGCTTACACTGCCTCTCTTGGCCAAGGAGTCGCCACAGTCAGCGGGAAGTGTCCGCTTGCTGGACTTTTTCAGCTCGTAGTCACCCGCATCCTCTATGATGGGTTCAAGCCTCGTCTACATACAGACACACAGCAGAGGTTAGCCAGCCAGCGACCGACACACAAACACAACCAATAACCTGCGGGCAGTGTCAGTGTGGCATACAAAGTGTAGACAATTTAAAAACGTCAATAAATGCTTCTTTTTTTTTTTCTCCCCCCACCAATAAAAGCCGTGACAAAACCTGAGACACAGAAAACATTGTGATCTATAGTTAATGATAAAGACTTAACAGCCCAATCAAAGGTGTTTCTGCATGTTTTAACATTTTAGTCTGTTTTATTGTGGACCTGGGACCCCTCACCTGACAAAAAGACCACCTTTGCTTCTTGGGGGGGGGGGGGGGGGGGAAACCCAGCAGACTGTCTATTGTTTAGACCTCTACAAACTAAACTAGACCACGAGACGAGATGCGTCAGGATCCAGGTGATTTACCACCGAAGCTAAACAACTAACAGCACTCGGGGGGGGGGGGGGGGTTGCATCTTAACATTACTGCCAACCACTTTCCAAAGCATACCAGACAACAAACCCTCTGCCAAGCAGCCATTTGTTTCCGTTCATGTTGCTACAGAGCTAAATATATACACGCGAGGAGACTTCAAACCTGCGCTGGAGACAGGACGTCCACCACATCTGTCACTGTGACTGCTATGTCAAGTTGTATCATCATCACATTTTGATGCACTGCAGTTCAAGAGCAGACTGTGGTGGTTTATTGATGTGCCTATGAGAAGCTCCCCCATCTAACACCAGCAAACAGCATTTTACTTCAAGAGCTATATGCTGTAGGGAGGAGGGGGATAAAAGGAAGAAAACAATAAGAATAGCAAAGGAATAAAAAGGTATCGTGTGAATTTGGTAGCTCCTTTAAAAGGACTGCTGTTTGGTAGTTTTTTCTTTATTTCAATGGATTCATGTAATAGTTGGCAGAAGATGAATTGGCAACTAGTTCCAGTTTTTTTTAATACGTGAGGATTTACTTATTTTCTCCGTTTTAAAACATTGTAAATTGAATATACTTGAGTGTTTTCATTGACGTCACCCTGAGCCTGGAGAAATTAAGTCACAGCCCGACAACGGACAAGACGAAAAAAACGCATTCATACATGTTTGACAAGATGGTTGGCAGTGATGTAGAGCACCAGTATGGCCCTTCACCTAACACGTACATATATTTCACGTACTTGGGTGCATACATTTTAACATGGATGACCACCCAAATGAAAAATGTAAACTGGATGCCTGCTACTACTTCAGCCTAGTTTGTGCTAGGGCCGTGTATCTGTAAGGCTTGATGGTCCAGAGTAGCTGCATACTGACCTCTGACAGGATAGTGGTATCATAAGAAGGCTGGTACTTTTCCTTCTCTTGAGGTGTGCGTTTCTCCATCTTCTCCCGGTCTGTCTTTTGCTTACGGTCCGCCCCCTTTGGCTAAACAGGAAGTGGCGAAGAAGAGCAAGACGGATTTAATTTTGCTGTGAGTGCCGCCGCATGTTGGGGTGTAAAAACGCCCCCCCCCGATGAGAGAACGAGTGTGTACCTTAAAGACTTTGATTTGGCAGGAGGCAGAGTGGAGGTGCTCCGTGTACTCTCCTACGTCTCCCTGGGAGAACGTGTCAAACTGGATCCTGAAGGGGACGCCCTTCTCTCCTCCGTGCTTCCTGGGAGTGAACTCTGTGCTGATGCAGTGCACCTGCAGACAAGTAAGCACAAGTGAGACGGAAATATGTGCTTGAATTCAGTGGCTCTCCCAACAGATGGCACAAAAGAGAGCTGATGTGTATATGTGTGTGTGTGTGTGTGTGTGTGTTACCTGCACAAAAACAGAAGTTCTTTTGTTCATGTCCCACAGGAACTCTGCAGCGTTAAGCTGGGAGGGGTGAGTCTTCGGCTCCACAATGCCCACTGACATGGGGATATCTGTCTCACACACACACACACACACACACACACACACACACACACACACACACACACACACAGATATGTGAACTCCACATCAGACACACGGGACGGTTTAAAGTAAACATCTATCGCCAAGCTTCATTACCGATGTCAAGGAGACGGTCGCCAGGACGATTCCACTTCCAGCCCTCCAGCTGCTGGTGCTCTGTGTACTGCAGCCGGCGGTCATGAAACACCACACGCACGATGCTCTACACACAAACACGCGCACAGTGTTAGGTATGAAGTGTATTTGACGTAAGAAGTAAAATGTTTCCCCCCCCCCTCCAGCTGTGAGGATCCTCTCACCTTCACCATCTTGTTGGTGAGCTCCGGTAGCTCTTCTGGCTTCCTGTTGTCCAACATACGCACCTCGTAAGACTGGCCTGAGAGCGAGAGAGAGAGACAGACCACAAAATCAACGCTAAGAAAGAAATAGGAGGTGCGAAAAATGAGCGCTACTAAAAACGTAACTATTCCCTGTCCTTTAATGGTATCGTCAGAGAGGATAGTTTATTTTTGTTTGTTGTGTAATTTAGGTGGTTTATTGTTTTATTGCACATTATATGGTTTGACATCGTATGATCATAAAAGATTTAAATGTCTAAACAGAGGCAGCCTTTAATTGCAGAGCTTAAGATGAAGTTCTAGCTTTCCAATATATTGCTGTAAAGAAAAGCCCCTCTAGCTGTGTGATTTTGGGTTATCCCAAACAAAAGATGACAATTGGAGAGAAATCTTGGTCTCGGATTGTACAGTGAGACCGACAGTCTCCCGACAGCAGATTAAGAAAAAAAGTCAGCAATTCCCCACCCCATGACTCCTCCTCTTTAAAGATTCTGTGATGGATAGCACTGCCAGCACAAAGGCCAAACCTTGTTTATTGTTTTGCCATAGTTCTGAAATATGAGCGTGCTGCAGAAGGATGACGCAAGTTGATGCCACATCTCTTCTTGCGTGGGTTTTACTTTCATTCACATTGTGGAGCCAGTGTCCATCGCTCCACCCCATAGCAGTGTATTTGGTGTCAACATGGGCTGGGCACTTGTACGAGCAAAACACAAAAATATACTACAAATGTGAACATTCTTTGCACTAAAAAAAAAGAAAAAAAAAAAAAAAAAAAGGTAAGTATCACGTTGTTCTGCTTTGATTGTGGAAATGCCAACAAGGTTTTTACGTGAACACATCAGAGGTATTTTAACCAGGTTCACACCATCTCAATGTTGAGAACGACTCCCCTCTCCACCAAACCTACAAATTTAATCTTAACTACACAATAAGGTGACATACACTATATTATATACGTTCCAGTAAAGTGCATCCTGACCCAATGACATGGACGACCAGACCGTCTAATAACAGGCTTCTTTGCCGTTTGGAAAATGTTTTGCATCAGCAAACAAAAGACCTGAAGTGACATTTTTTTTGCTGCGCTAGCAATTCTGTATGTTTCCATAATTAGAAATTCCATTTTCATGGATGAATAAATTAAATCCTTATTTTTTCCATGAAAACGTGGCTCAATAATTGACAGCTTGTCTTGCAGTGAAGCATATAGAGACATAAGTCACATATGTCGCTCGTTAAAATTAGGAGGTTGCCAGCTCCTCCATTGACGTGAATCCCTATTTGTGCCATCAAATAAAGTAAATCTCCAAATCGGTGATGCTTAACAATAAAGTGAACGGTTTCATTTTACAGTAATTATACTGTATGTGCAATAAATCAATGTGTTAATTATTTATTGATATTAAATGATGGTTGTGTACCGCGTGTCTCCGATCCACACATCAAACACCAATAAAGTTTCTATGCACGGCTTGAGTTGAAAACAACTTTCTCCTGAGTGCCGGTATCGTGTGTCTCACCTTGGTTCAGGTATGTGAGCGTCTCGTCGTGCAGCTTGACAGCAGGCGAGGTGGCGGTGCACAGCACATACTGGAATGGGGTGTTTTTGGTCTCGCTTTCAGATGGAAGGCTGGAGTCCTCCTGCTTGAATATGGGCAGAGCCAGCACATCGCTGAGGGAGACAGAGGAAAGAGGAGAGAAACACAAAACAGGAAGTCAGCAGGGATGTGATGCAGCAATCATCATCATCAGGAAAGAACTACAGCTTCAAAGTGTTCCACGAACGGCATAACATACACAAAGTTTTAAGCTTTTATTGATGCTCCAATGCCATCCTGATGGCAACACAATCACTGTGACCTCACTTAAAGCAGAAGCTTTTCCCAAAAAAATACATCAAATTTGTTTGTGCCAACTGTTGCATGCTTCATTTTTGGCATGACAACACTTTACCTCCTCATAGCGTGGAATTATTAAATAGATGGGCTTATTTTAGAAGGAGTGATGAAGGCGCCCCATCGATCAGATGGCTCTCTGATTATATATGCATGAGGCCGCAGCAGGATTAATGAACAAAAACACCCAGAGATAGCCTGAGCTGCTGACACATACTATCTCTCACACTTGGCAGCCACTCTAGACAACCGACCCGTCCTCGGCTCACCCTGACAAATGCTGCAAGAGTTCAAACGGTGCACAGTGAACTGGAGCGTGTGTGTAGATCTCAGTGGCTGTGCAGAAAAGGAGTCCTATCCATGCAAACCATGTCATCTCATTACCTGGGGAACTTGTTTTTGGCAAGTCATGATGCTGCTCTGAACCCAAGCCAAACTTAAAATAAATAAAATTGACAATTTCAAGACATTCCTGCAGCACCTCGCTCCAAACAACAGACTCTTTCAAACAGCAGGCCTGATCGATCAAATCCCTTGCTGCTGTGTTTCTCTCTCTGCAGAGTTGGTGCCCAGATAGCACCAACCTGCTACCCAGGAAAACTACATCTGCTTCCTGAAATGGGAACTGGTTCCACTAAAAACACACAGACATTCTGTTCCTACCAGCTGCTGACTCCAAACATGCCCCACATCCCACAGATAGCACCACTCCTGAAGCTACGGACAACCACCGCACTCTTTGTTTTTCCACTAATTCACTTACGTACATGCAGCCCGCAGCTCGAGTGTTGGTGAACTACCTACAGTCGCGTCACAAAGACGCATGCAGGTCCTGGGGGCTTAAATGTCAACACCTCTCATAACCCATTACACAAGTCGGTGCACACAGACCAAGAGTTACTAATTGAACAGCTTTTCCAACAATGTCCCCTTTGATGCCAACACGGTCCTCCTTAAACCATTAAACCAAAGACAGATACAGGAAACATATCCATCCTCCACAGACACATTATCAACTAGTAGCCTAGTCAGAAGACGCCACATTTAGGGACAAATGTTGGAATCGCCTGAGAGACCAGAAACTGGTGGCGTGTGCTCCATTTGAGCATATTGACTCAGACTGTGTGCGGCTAGTAGAGCTGGTTAGAATGTGAAAACATTGTGTTCCAATAACATACCTGTACTGTCAATAGTGATACCAAAACAACTCCCTTTCAATGCCATAGTTTGAGTAATACAAACAAGAGTGACACGATGCTGCTGAGGAGGATTGTGTGACTGGATCAAAAACTCTAAAGCAGAAACTTAATGGTGAACCCTGTGGTGGGATTGGACTTGTTCAATGCTGAGAAATCTGAGCGAGCATTCAACTCTGTGTGGAGTCGTGTCAAGAGTTAGAATTGAATGCTTGGTCCGATTGATAGGTTTGTTTACGTATTCTTTGGCCAGATATTTACATAAATCAGTAAATTTTAAAAAGGTTCATGTTATTTAACAGTGATGCATTATGCAGTTTATATAAAGTAGTAGTGGATCATCAGTCTGAAATACCCATGGTCTCTTACACAATTACAAAATACTCCTTTTATTTCCAAAACGGATGGTTGGATGCATCTGCCGCTTCCACCTGAAGTCAATTACCTCTTTTAGAGCAAACATTACTAAAATCAGACCCATCACCGTGTACATAATGTCACAGCCTTTTGTTTACACACACCACTGATCTTTAGAAACAAAGCCATAGACCAGTTCTAGCAACTCTGCCAGTCTCAGGGGCCAAAACGAGGCTTTTTTCTGCAGACTTTTTCCGTGTTATCCTGACATGCACACCGAGTTTAGGCATCTCTTTGACAACACACATAACCTGAGCAACAACATGAACTGATACTATGCATTTGTCCCTCACAGTACAACACGTGTCCTTTTTCACTTTGGTGAGGTTGAGAGGAATTAATCTCTGTCCCTGATCGTGGCACCCTGCGATGACTGCCCTGCTCCAAATCCCAAAACAAAGAGAAGCCATCGCACTCAGTACAAAGGGAACAACACACACACACACACACACACACACACACACACACACACACACACAGGGATGATTGGGGGGGGTGTAATGTTAACACTTCCAGACAGTATAGTATGTTGTGCTCTCCATCGACCCACTAGCACTAACGTGTTAGAAAGGTGCGGTTTGTCATGTTGACTCCGGACTCTGACCTCATGCTGTAGGCTCCGGCCCCCAGTTCCTGTCCGATGCCGGACAGGCTGGCATCAAAGTCGTGCACCAGCCCCGACTCTATGCTGGCGTCGTCCATCTTCAGCACCCAGACCATCGGCCCCAGCTCCTTGTCCTCGGCTTCTACTCGGAGGGCCGCCAGCTTGCTTCAGGTACGAGGTCGTCGGCTAACGAGGAAGTGGACTCTGCAGCTTCTAGAGCGACTCCGTGAGAGGAAAGTTACGCTGCTAGCCCGTTAGCCGCTGCTGTGCAAGCTGGGCGAGCGAATCGGTAGCTTTCCACAGAGACTGGATGTATCGCCATATCTCCACTCGGGGGTTTAGGGCGGGGGTACCTTTTGACACACGACACGGTGCTCCACTGGTCTGTAAGCAACGATACGTTAAGGTCGACTCAGCTAGCAAACGTTAGTCGTGACTAAAGATGCGAGCTGGTTGTCAGCATGCTAACGTTAGCTAACAACTAGCTAGCTTTCACAAAAGGCAACAAGCTTACGCTGAATCCACGAGCCCCGTTGTTACACGAGCCTTCAAGCAATCTAAGCTAACGTCAGCCCAACAAAATGCAACAACCAGAAAACACGGGTTTTGTTTCAGTCCACACGGCTCATCCCACTCCGCACAGCTGTTGCTACCTAGCTAGCAGGCTAACTAGCATCAACTTCACTTTGCTTTCGAATCAATCGCGTGACCCTAAGAGCAGCTCTCCTCTGACGCTCCCTGTACCATCCCAACCCGCTCTCCTCTTCTCATAGCGATGCTGGAATCACCGCTAAGGCTCCCAGGCCTCGAGACGCAGTCCTTTAACCATCCAAAGTGCAGCGGTTGACACAAAACCAGGCATCAACATGGCTCCCTCAGCATACAGAAGAACCGTCGCTCCGTGAAGCCTCCCGCATCGCCGCTGCCACTGGACAGCCTTCCGGAAGGATGCAAGGGAGGCGATCAGCCAATCAGAGGCAGGCATTCTGTACCCAGCGCAGGGGAATTAGCCAATTAGAAACCTTGGAGCTTCCGTCATTGTGTCCAACTGTACTTGCGCGCTGCCTCCCAGAAAGTATAATAAATGCATTTACAATGTCAATATTGTAAACAAAAACAGAGACTTTGAAAGCAATACTGTAGATATATGCACCTAAATAGTTTTTAATTAACATTATGTTAATGATAGGTATATGTTAATGAATAGCTACTTTGGCAATAATATAATTACATCACCAACGTCATAAAGTAAATAAACATTTCACATTTAGGTTCATGAGGTTCGTACCGTGTATAACTGCTGCCGTCGTGTTCGGGGACTCTGAAGTTTTCAGTGTAAGGCTGCCAGAACAACATCGTGTTGTCCCAAACAGCTGTCACTACAGTACGTCTCACTCCCAAAAAAAAACAACAAAAAATACACAACTCAGCCCGGAACCGAGGAGGTTCAAACAGGAGCTCGTGTCTGTCTCATGTCAGTGCGACGGAGGAGTCTGCATTCACCGGTTGCAGGCGTGTTGTCTGGTCAATAATTATCCACCGGTCGGACCCTGGACGACATACTGGACGTGGCGCGCGGTCAAGTCTAATGGGTGGTAAAAATAAAAAAAAAAAAATTCCGAGGCAGGGTACACGCGCTATTTTTGCTCAATTGGGAAGACCCGCCTTAGGACTTTAATTACTGCCCCCCCCCCCCTCCCCTTATGTGACTTCTCACACAATTCAGGACATGGTTTACGCACAATAGTCAGGCTGAAGAGTAAAACACAGTCAAGACATAATGGAACAATACTTGCACCCATTTTAGTGATACATCATTAAATATATTATGTTACCGGATTGTTAGGCATTAATGTGAAAGCAGCGTGTTCTGTTGCAGCTGGTCGAGGTGGAGTTAGTTTGTAAGTTGGTTAATAAGTACTTTATATGTTGGGTACTTTATAACAGCGCGTTGTCCTTTATACACCGTTATGTATCTCTGAATTGTAGAAGTAGAAAGTAACATACAATGCACATGAACTGCATGTACTTTGGCAGTTGGGAGATGATTGCAGGCTGGCGCTGTTTCTGACATCCTCTTTAGCAGCTCCTCAGATTACAGCTTCGAGAACGGATGCATACATGACATTCTGCGCCGGTTTCAGCAATGGCTATGTTGCGTAAGACATAAACGTAATGTCATTCACAACATATGACTGGATAAGTCCAAACCACTTAACTGCTGTTCACGTTTTCCTTTTTATATCACAGTTCTCTGATCTACCAATTAATTAACAATCTTGAGTAAAAACAGGACAGGACAGGAGCTGTTAGACAGAAAAGTGATTATTCTCTGTGGTGAGGAATTTCTGCCTCTTTCTTTCTTGTGCGATAGTAAATTGAATGTTTGGGTTTAGTTGGGAAAACAAGTAATTTGAACAGGTTTAAGAGATTGTGATGGGAATATTTTAACAATTTCAGAAATTCTATGGACCAAATGATTGAGGAAAGCAATATAAAAAATACTGAAGTGTTCTTGTGATCCCTCAAAGGTTAGAGACACAAGTTATGAGCAGTTTAACCAAAGAGGCTTTTTTCTTTGTTAGAGTTTCATTTTAAGGGTTTTTAGATGCAAGGAGGAAAAAAGTATTCAGTGTTTTACAATAACAAAACACAAAAACATACAAAAAAAGTTGTGCAACAGATCTGTTCTTTCAGTATTATCCCTTTAATCACCAGCTGTGATATGAGAGAAGAGTTCAGGATCTCTTGGTTTAAAAAGGTACAGCTGGATCTTTAGAAGATATACTGAAGAGGGTTCATCACTGATCCTGGGTCAGTAAAACACAGACAAATAGTTTACAACCAAAATGAGTCAATGAATTAGTAAGTAAATATGTGTTAAATATATATATATATATCTCTATCCCTTTTGTCACTAACATTTCTATCCACCCTTTCACCACTACAAAAAGCAGAAGAGGCAGGGCTCATGATCTGTACAAGTTCTTTATTGTAATGTAAGCACAGCTTTGTAAATGCACGGAGGAAACACAACAGTGAAACTAGAATGTTACAAGAGCAAGGAAAGAAAGACACAATGAAGAGAAGAGAAAAGGGTGACACGACGAGTTGTTTTCAGAGCTGTAAATAATACATTTCTACAAATTTCTCAGCAGAGAAAAAAATAGGTGTGTGAGAGAGAGAGAGAGAGACTACAGCTAGCGCAACAGAGAGAGAGAGAGAAAAACAAGGATGGGCACAGGTGCGAACCCCCCCTCTGGGGAACTCTCCTAAATTACAGTTATTGGATATTCCATTTTAATATCATGTAGAGATACATATCCACTATGTGATAATAAGCCATGTCCCGTCATACTTCATGTAGTAAGCAGCACGCACTCATCTTCCTCTCCATGTTGCCCAAAAACAGAGTGAACCAAGAAGAGCCGGGAGAAACGGAGGACACCATGAATTCTTCTGAAAGGGGCGGACATTGTTCACCATTAATTTAAAACCCCAAGTCACACTATTATGACTGTCGATCGAACTCCAAATAAAACCTTTTTTTCCCTTAAATTTAGTCTCATGCATAGCCAAGCACAAAACACCTCCTATACTTTGGAATCAACCCATGTACTGTCTCTTCTACGAGCAGGCGTGACCCGCTGTGACTCACGTCAGTGCTGCGCACGGTTCGCTGGTCGTACCTTTTAGGCTAATCAGCACCTTTTTGAAAGAGAGAAAATGTGTGTGTTTGTGTGTGTGTGTGTGTGTGAGAGAGAGAAAACTCCAGACATTTAAAAACCGCTGCGGTAAAACCTCATCGCGTAAAATAAATCCAAACTATGACACAACGTACATTTACATTCCCGTCTACCTGGCCCCAGTTACTCACTGTTCAAGAAAGACACAAGACGGCACCATTCATTCGTCTCAGCACTGTTCTATGAACCGGACCTTCAAAATGAGAACCACGCAGACACACTTCCTGTTGACATCAAGATGTTATGCAGAGGGGAAACTGTAGTGTTCGGGATGGAGGACGGACATTTCATATCTTCATCCTTGAGTGGTTAGTGACGAACCTGGGTGTGACTGAATGTGTGTTGTCTGTTTGTATTTAAGGGTTCTGCTCAGTCTGAGAGCAGGGTGGATCCACAGCGAGGGTCAGAAGAACTACAGCACTCCTCTCTTCTGCAGCGCAACTCCAATCTTGTAGTGGGGCAGGAAATGTATGAGGATTGTGTGTGTGTGTGTGTGTGTGTGCTGGCCAGAGTGCAGGGAAGGTGTGGTTGTAAGCAGGTTGCTCCGGTGAAAGAGTGTTAGGATGTCTGTTTTGTTCTCGGTCTGTGTGGGTGTGAGTTCATGAACTGATGTTGATGTTCGGTGGGCAGAGTTGCAGTTCTGTGGGAGTGCGCCGTGTCTCCTATAGGCCCTCAGACGGAGGTTCACCGCCGCTCGAGCCAGACTGGGCGCGCTTGATGTACAGATTCAACAGCTTCAGCTGCGAACAGAAAAACAGACGAGAGGATAGATGTGAAGAAGTCTGCCTCTAGAGGTTGAAAGGAAGTCATAACATGGTGAAAATCTGGATCGCATGCAACAAAAGAGCGCACTGGTCTCTATCTAGAACACCGAAAAGGTGTTTACTTCAAAAGTGTCTCAAGGTGCCTGATTTCAACCTGTCACAGACCTCATAACTTGGCGTGTGAAGACATAAGGACCTTGCACGGTAACACGGATGAGAAACTACTCATCTTAAGCCAGCTGGCTTGTGCTTCGTCCTTGTCTCAGATGCTGACGGGTCAGGTTACCTTGCTGCTGGAGAGTTGGTTGAGGTGCGGTTTGAGGTCCTCTCCGATCACTGCATAAATGGCCACCAAGCAGAACACACAGGCTTTCCTTACACTGCTCTCAGAGTTGTCGTAACCCTGTTCAAGCAGATACAATAGATTACAAACCTGCAAGACACTTTGGTGAAAACAAAGGAGTCCGCTAAAGTATTCATGTATGAGTGTGTGTGTGTGGGTGGGGTTTGAGGACGGGAGGTGCATTAGTTTTACCAACATAAAAACAACAATTCCTCTAACTTTTAATAAATAATAAGCCCACTATTATACTTCGAATAGCGCTAGATCATGATGTTCAGCATCAAAACTAAACTATGCCTGTATGTGTGCTACCTGTATGAGTCCTGGCACTATCTCAGGCAAGAGGCTCATCAGGCCCTCGCGGGGAACCCTCTCCACTACTTTGGTCTGCATCTTGATGGCAGCCAGGTTGACGGGGTAGTCGGCTGACTGGATGATGGGACACAACACCTTGACACACTGGTCTGGACTGATGGACAATGCCAACATGGCTGCCGTCTCCTCCGCTGCTCGTACCACCTGCGGGAACACAAAAAGTTATTTGCTATCCCTTTATCAACAAAAGAATAACTTTTGCACGCTCTCTGAAGTCCTCATGATTTAAAACAAAACGTACCTCCTTGTGGGGGTCTTTGTGAGCCTCCAGGGCCTTCATGATGGTGAGCTCTGCGTAGTTTTTGAACCTCGAGGGCTGCTTGCTGAGAATCTCCCTCAGCACCCGCAGAGCCAGTGTTCGGATCACATGCTGGGAGAATTACAAGGATGTCAGTTTAAAGGAAAGAAGTTGAAGTTGGCCTGTTTGCACATGTGTCATCACAGAAAAAGGAAGCCGGCGTGTGTACCTCTCTGTCGCTCATCGTTTCCATTAGGAGCAGCAGGATGGTCTTGAAATGTTCGTCCCACACCTGCAGGGTGTTCTCGCGGATCAGCTTCAGCAGATCGCACAGCGCTGCCTTCCTCTCCTCAATGCGCTCGTTGTGATTGGACAGCTCTTTCAGCAGCTCGGCCACCAGCTCCGACTGGTCCAGGCTGCTGTCTGTTAAGAGACAATAGACGAGAAAAACACAAAACAAACATGGGACAGTTATCATACCGTTTGTTTTGAGTGGTGCAGTGCGTGTGTGTTGGTCTGTCACAATGTGTTCCTGTACCATCTGTGAGATGCTCGGAGTCGTCCATGCTGGAGTCTTTGCGGCTGTGTTTGAAGGGAGAGTCTGAGAAGTGCTCGCGGGCCCCTCGGGGGCTGGAGGAGAGCAGGGGGGTGTTGAGGAGGGACGTCTTGTTGTCCAGAGCCATGCGGCCTCCGCCGTCCACAAAGTCTGTCCCGCTGTCCCCCTGTGGAGATGAAATAAAAACCGTTCAACATCGTCACTGCAGTCAAACATTGTTTGCTTTTCCTGACTGCTGCACAAAAAGGGAGGCAGCACTGACAAGTTATATTCACTAAAGAAAGTAAAAAAAGATGTATTCCTCTGAATCACATGACCAGGAACATTTGGGTGATATTTACTTTTATGAAAGCATGCAGTTCTCTGGATGAGATTAAGAGGCCGACCTGAGAAGGCTGACTTGGGTGGGACCACCCACTGAGAACTGGTGCATGGGTGAAGAGGTTCAAGGCGCTCTTATTTCTGTGTATATTTACACTCAAAGCCACGGTCTGAGTGGTGGTTTGAGGAGTCAGGTGTGCTGTGTTTGGCAGGCTGATGACATGTGGGCTGGTTAGATTTCAGATGCATGTCACGGGGAGAATGTCAGGGGGTCACACCTCTGTACTACAGTACACCGTGTCCTTTAGAGGAGCAGGGGTGGCTGAGGGTCTGCAGAAAGAGCTGACGCGACGTCTGAAGTCATAAATTTGGACTGAACACCACTTGTCAAGTATTAAAGGGGAGGTTATTGTTGATCACTGGGATCATAACAGATAACACACATGATTTTTATCAGAGGTTTAAGTTCACGGCCTTCAGTCTCAAACACTTGATGTAGGTCTCAGTTCCCACACTGCAGGGGGGAGTGGTGGAACAGATCACATTTCAGGGACAGACATAGTTAATGTAGCTGGCTATGGTTGTGCGTCTGTGTGTGTGTGCGTCTGTGCTTACACCTTTGCAAGTCTTGGAAAACATGTTGCAAGGCTCAACAAGACATGGATCAGAACCCATTACTGTTTAAGTACCAAGTGAGTTATGCCTGTAGCTTTGCACGCATAGCGAAAAACGATCACGCATCCAAAGTTAACATGGAATACTTTGTCAAATCTCGTTTCCATATCGGTTGATCAGAATTAAGCAGCTTAAAAAAGTAAGAAAAAAATAGTTTTGCTACTGTGCCTAAAAAAGGCATCATTCTGACAGTAGTGTCAAACTAAAATCAAAAAAACACGTCATAAACAGACGTTTAATTGCGATGGCAACACTGAGCAACTTTATTGATTAATCAACTTATATTTCGGCCAGCAACTCTGCATGACGCCCCCTGTTGCACAACACTACACGAAATGTTGCCCACAACAGGGAATCAAAGTTAATTGTATTTCTGAAGAATGCAGGAACTGATGAACATTAAAATGCATTCAAATTATTTTTTCTCTAACATTTCATTTGCATTCTGCTTCAGTTCCAACAGAAAATACTGTCTGATTGCAGCGGTTGGCTCCTTTAGAGAAGATGAAGTGTGAAACTAGCTTTGTTGTGTTTCATGAAGGAATTCCTAAAAGTTGGCAGTCCAGTCGTTTTTAAGCCTCCTCTTCAACACCACTTCTGCTTGCAAATCTTGGCTGCTGCGCTTCACACAAACCTCTGTAAATGTTTCACATTTGTTTTCACTCAAAGTTGTGTCATCATCCAAAAATGTCACGCTATGTCAAATTGTACTTAAACAAAAAGGCGTTGCCAAGAATTACAGAACAGTACAGTTCCAGAGGCTCCGTGTCAGTCCGGACACTGATGTAGACTTGCATCAACACATTCATCACAGCATCCCCCGGTCTGCTCTCCTCACCTCGTCTCCCTCCCGGCGGTGGAGCGGTTCATTCATGTCCTCTTGGCTGCGGACGCTGAAGTTCTGGATCGCCTCAGTGACACCTTTCAGTGAGCTGTAGATGTCCTCTGAGTTCATGTTCTCTGTGTCGTAGTCAAATGCACTGCAAATGAAAGAAAAGGGACACTGAGCCAGGGCTGCAGCTGAAGTGAGTCTTCAAACTGTTTTACTCCACGTATGAAACATACTTCAAAATTGTGACAAAATTGACATTAAAACAACAAAAACTGTACTGATCATATAAACCCAAGGAGAAAAAGAGGCAGTAGGTGTGTCGTGATGTTTAATAAATGAAATATTGATATGTTGATAATGCACATTTGATTTTGTGTAAATAATCCAGAGCCTTTTAAATCAGACTCTCCACCTCCCTGCACTCGAAGGTTGAGTGTAATTCATTCGCCAAAAAGAGACAAAACGCACAATAAACAAAGCTAGAGATAAATTTGACTGACTGACTTGAAAAAATGTCTAAGTATTGCGATAATATTGTTATCTGGATATTATTTAGGCCACGACAATGGTAACGTGATATTTCCGGCCCACTGAGCCACACCGACTAATGTTGTCTCATCTATACGCACATCTGTAGACTTTACTCTCGTCTCCTGAGTACACGTTGTCCTGTGTTCATGCTAATATGTCAACTATTGTTAGATGTTCCAAGTGTGAGTGCGCATTACCTTGGCGAGGGGGTGTTCTGGGAGGTGTTGGTGGGGGAGGTGACCGGGCTGGACCAGCTAGCTGGAGAGCGGGGGGTGTGGCGCGTCAGAGGGCTGCCCATTGTTGCCTGAGGAAGTGACAAAGAACACACAAGTTAAGTTCAGTTAGAAAAGAAGTCTGCGATTAATGCAGCAGTGTAATGATTCACAACCGCAGCATACCGCGTGCCTCTGAAACACTCCCTTCGTTACCTGTGCAGCGTTGCCAGTGTTCTTCAGATAGTTTTGAAGCAGCTTGGTTGCTCCGTCCTGGAAGGTTTTGGGCAGAGCTGCCAGCAGCATGGTGAACTCTGGAGTGTTGAGCTGGAACAGTGAGATCAACACCGACTGGGCCGCCTGTAGCACAAAACATACATCCATCCATCCCGGTCAGAAAGGGTTGGAATCGCTATCGTTAGCTAATCAAGTGACAGTAGTTCTTTCCAACATCATGAGAATTAACTGTGGGAATAATGTTTTGAGCTGGTGGAGGGTTTGTATGTCAGCACCTTTCTGACGTCAGAGCTCTTGGGTTCAGTCGTCCACGTGATGATGCGGGAGATGGCAAGCCGAGTCTCACTGGAGTTCACAAAGTCTGGAGCTTCCATCTGTATCGTCAGCGTGTCGATATACTTCAAAATGGCCACCTTCACCTGTAATACACAAATGTGCAGATATAGGACTCATTAGTAAGTTGAGTGATAACAAAAATACTGCATGGCCAACATTCACCTGCAAAAACACAAATACAGTAATAACAAAACTACAAAACACACACACACACACACACACACACACACACACGACCACCAATGTTCACAGACAACATGTACAACCGCAGCAGATTGTGCATCTCTTGCAGGTCTGAAAATCAAATGATCTGATGAATCAGTGAGAGAAGAGCAAACGACAGTCATGGCCATGCTTTATCACAAATCAATCAAAAAGAAAAGCGATGACAAAAACAAAGGAACCAATCAAAGCAAACATTCAGCTCAGGCTCCGAAGCGCCACAACAACCGACTCCTGCCCTGATTTCCTTCCATCTCTTCCCATATGGACCAGAGACTTCCTCCAAATCACTTAGCAGCATTTGCGCGCGCCCATATAATTGCTCCCCCCGGAGCGCACTGACCTGGGAGGACTGGCTCCAGGCTGCGGCCTGCTCGTCTAGAGAGCAGGCGTGGCGCCGCGCTCTGGGGGGGAACAATCTAACCCCGGACCCTCCCCTGCCTCGCCCGCAACACGAGCTCCGTACGGGCTTCAGAGAGAAAGAGGAGAATCACCGCGTCAATCAACGGAGAGAGAAAGGGGGAGACGAGGACAGGGGCAGACAAGAGAGGAAGAGGGAGCAGAGGGAGGGAGGGAGGGAGGGAGGGTGCAGAGAGTTTAAGAGGAGTAAAAAGATTGGAAAGTAGGGTTGGGCGGTATTTAAATTTGATGATATTATTCTGAAAAATCTGTAATATACAATTTAATCGTTCAGGCCACATGATGGCAGCCAAGAGCTGTGATGCCTTGTTAATTAATAAAAAACAGTTTATGAAGCTTCATGCAACAGTTTGTAAGATGGATAATGACTGAACAATATATTAGGATCCTTATAATGAGAGTATACTTGTCAGCGTTGAAAGGAAAGTACATGACTTGATCATGCAGTATGTTTAGGGTGGGTTCGGCTTTTCTATTGTGTGATGTTGAGATCTTTTCCTGAAAATTCAATTGAGAAAACTGCTTTCAGAAAAAATAAGCAGATCCAATCCAGTGAATTGCATATCAGAAAAATCCAAGTACTTCATCACGATTGCAAAAATCCCACTGATCACCCACAGACATATTTCTACTGTCTCACAGTACATGTCGTCATATTGCCCTCTCCTAGTCTGTGATGTGAGCTGTGAGGTCCCGCTATGAGCCAACAGACTGAGAACAATGTTTCATGACTATCAAGAGTTTCCTCAGGCCTCAGAGTAGCTCCACAATCCAAAACTGTGCTTCAAGTGGCCACTTCTTCTCACTGCATCAGATTTGTGACTACAAAAACAACAGCAATAATAAAAAGCAACAGCAAGCTATCTCTTAAATGAAAAAATAAAAAAGGTAGGGATGAAGGGGTAAGGAGAGCGAGGAGGAGGGATAAAGTAGCAAAGCTTGAGTCGAAGGTAAGTAGTGTGTGTGTGTGTGTGTGTGTGTGTGTGTGTGGGGGGGGGGGGGGGGGGGGTGATACTGGTTAGTGAAGAGGAAAGTACGGGAGCATGAACAAGAAGTTAGAGGAGGAAAGCTTGAAGGGAGCGTCCACACTGTAGCAGAGCAGCAAGCCAGATCAATCGCTGTCCAATCACAGCCCAGGATTCAGGGATTTGGGCAGGCATGAGGTCACATCAGTGCAGCCCCCCCCACACACTCAGGCCTTCAGACACTTCGCTCTCTTTCTCTCTCTCACACACACACACACACACACACACACACACACACACACACACACACACAATTTACCTTGAGGTTGGGCGTCTGTGTCTGGTCCACAGTAAACCTCATGAGAATAGTGAACTGGAGGTCGTTGGGGAAAGACTCTCTGTCAGAGGAAAAAACACATCTCATGAGTAAAAGGATGAATTACTGTGAATACAAAGTCAGAGTAAACAATGATTTGTGTGTAAAAACACAAGACAGAGAAGACAGCAAGTATATGAGATACTGCCCGACAAGATGTCCATTACATAAGGGATAATAATCAGTGAGTAATTATTGCAAAATGAACCCCGACAGGGTGAGCAGATCCCTAAAGCATCCCATCTGGGTTCATTTCACAATGATTGTTTAATCCGTTACGACAGGGAGGCCAGTGTGTGTCAGAGGTTGCCTCTTGAGTCCATTAATTCCTGATTATGGACACCTCGAGGGGCATTATGCTGCTTATACCACGCTCACTTAGCAAAGGAAAGATTAAAACCATTCTTTTCTTTTCTTTTCTTGCCACTCGTGTGTTAAAGTCGCCATCCTGTGGTGTTCAGAGGAACTAACGCAACACTCAGCGTTGTAAATAACTTATTCTGATTCTGTTGTAGCCAGTGCATTAACTAATTAGTAAGTGTCCGTTATCAGACATTAACGGCCACCTTGCAGCCAATCAGAATCGAGTATTCACCCCGACCATGGTATAAGTAACAAATAACATAAGCACAAACTATAGGCATACTATTCCCAAAGGTTTGGATACTTATGTCACCCATGGGTGAAGAACTTACATGCCCTAATGTCTGTACTGTGATAGTGTGCCACCCACCGTGTGACATCCAGGGCTCTCTGTACTTTGGCCTGTACGGAGCCCAGCAGGTCTGCTCCCATCTTCTTCAGCAGCTGTGTGAGCAGGACGAACAGCCAGTCCTGCAGATCTTCCTTGTGGACCAGGATGAAATCCACCAGTGTCTCCAGGAACATGCTGAACACCTAAACACACACACACACACACACACACACACACACACACAGTTTAGGTCACGCGGGGACTCGGGTCACTCGACAATTCACGTTTCACACGCACATGCATGCATACAAGTAGTCCTGCATTTACAGTGTTATTACAGGATACAGGGAGGTTATGCTGGAGTATCATGTGAGAGTAGCATTAGTTCCCATTGTGAAGTTAGTGGTTATTCACTCGTTATTGCAGCAGCACACTTTGATTCCCAATGACCAATTAAACTTAAATAATCAAATGAATATTAATAATATTAGAAAACAACCTAACATGAGACAGTTAATTACTTAAGAAGTAACCAATCAGACTGTGTGGTCACCATCTCTACATGCCGGTGGATGATTTCAGCAGGAAAGTGTAGTTCCAAGCAACCTTATGTGAGGTAGGTTAGTGAGTGAGGTCTCCATCCAAACACACATGTAAATACAGTAACACTGATTGGCCGAACTTACTCTCTACAGAGAGTTCCGGAGTGAAGTGGCATGGGGGGGGGAGAGAGAGACACACATCTGTTAGCATCCTGACAAAGAACACCTGAATGAACTCAGCGTCCGTGTGCACGCTATAAAACTCCACTTTCTGTTCCAACATTTGCAAAAATGGAAAGAGAGTCAAATAAATAAGAGCAACAACGTCCATTAAAACGTAAAGGGATGTTTTGTGCACTCTAGGAAAGAACTGAGAGAGACGTTGATAAACATGGGAGATGAGAAAGAAGAAGTGAGGATGGTGTGGGATGGACAGATGGAGGCAGGAGAGGGATCCAGGGTGAGATGCAGTACCTTGAAGGAGGCTGAGCTTATACCGGATTCTGCCGTGCCGTACACTCTGCCGGAATCTCGCTGAAATTCATCAAATCGTCAATCGTCAAACGAGGGGGGAAGGGGCTCACACACCTTACGACATGTGTGAGACAACGGGCACTCAAAAAAAAAAAAAAAAAAAAAGGCCGAAAGGAAAGTGGCAATGTTAGAGAGGACCGAAACGCAGCTGGTTAGTCAGAGAGAGGAGCTGGCAGCCCAAAAATATGCGCTTATATTTAAGTGTGTCTGAGCGCGTGCGGTCAGTGTCGTCGCTTCAGATTGCAGCGGGGGAGGGGGCAAACAGAGGGAGCACCAGTGAACACTGTGAGCACAGCCGGTGGATCGGCTGCAGTGACAGAGCAATCCCACAGGACGGCGGAGAGGTGTGAGGTCACACGTAAACTCAGGCGTGGCATGCCGTTAGATGACAGTCCATTGCACACTCTGCATGCCCGTGATTATGTCCGAGTGTGAATATCCATGCGAGTGTACAACTGATAGTATAGTTTGACCCGTTTATCTTCTTTATCTCTAAACTTATTAAAAAACAGAACGATTTAACATCTGTGAGTGTTGAAATGTGTGTGTGTGTGTTAACAAATCGGTCCTTTGTGTTTGTTTTGGCAGAATCCGGTACAGTGAAGGTTGGTGGGGATAAAAAAATAAAAGTGGGTGAATGATGAATCTATTTGAGATGATATCGTGAATGAGTGAGCGCTGTGCGTCTTTGGGTGAGTACTTGCGCCGTATGCACTCATACCTTACTGTGAGGGTCTGCAAACATCCGGGTGAAGATTTCACACAGCCTCTTCAACTCTACCCGACTGCAGATCAAAAACAAAACGGTTAGAATAAAATCAACAATCGAGTTGATCTTTGAGAACGCAACTGCCTGCTCTGTGGCTGACCTGAGGGTGCGTTGGTTCTTCAGCAGCGCCTGCAAGCCCATAAGCCCCTCCTTCCTCTCCGACCAGTTGGCACTGGCACAGCGGTTCAGCACCTGGCAAGAACCACAGAGACCTGTTCAGACTTCTATACAGGCACAGAGGAAGTAATGCGATTAAGAAATGCTGAGCCTGACACAGAAGAGTCATGGCTTTCCAATTGTTGCACTCATTTCCTCAGTTGTGGGTCTAAAAAGTGTCTTTTTGTTGTTTGGCCTAATGACTATATTTATGGCTGCTGTTGCCGCCAACCTCAGCTACGTCTTCCGTCTGTCTCATGTATGTGGGGATGGCTCCTCCGTTCCTGGAGCTGTAGGACCTCTCCGAGCAGGCGCTGGATGCATCGCTGTTGGCGTCGTCGTCAGAGTACATGCCGTAGTTTTCGTACCGCCGCCGTGCTGGCTTCTTCTGCGGGTGGAGGACAGAAATCCAGAGGAGATGAAATTAAGCTGAAAATGAAGACAGAAGTAATAACAGGCACAGGCAGAAAACATGCACTCACACACCTGTTTTCATAGAGCACAAACACAGCTAAACACACACACACACACACGGGTAAGAGGCAGGAGAAGAAGCTGACCTTGGACCGGATGTCTCCCAACAGCTGATAGCATTAAACAGAGGTAGAAACAGGGGTTAGTTAACACACACACACACACACACACACACACACACACACACACACACACA